ATTTAAACAAACACAGTCATAATAAAATTTTAAAATGCTAAGGATGCAGCCCTGCAGACCCCAAGGCTGTCATGGAGCTGATCTTGGATACAGATGCTTCCTCAACTCCTAGATCTTGGGAGGTGTGGCCAGACACTGTCCCTCTTCATTGGAAGTTCTTCTGAAGGGGGAAGATGAAAGTATATGAATTACCAAGATGGGGCATGGAATGGTTGGTGTGGGAGTCCATTCTCTGAGGGTCCTGAGGCCAAGCCTCTTCCCTACGGGATCGGAGTTGAGGTGATCTAGAACTCCTCTTGAAGGTACCTGTGCCCTGCAGTGGCATCTGGCTGCTGGTCTGAGCCATGTCCTAGAGGGGACTCATCAGGAGGAGGCCTGCTCTGAAGGGGGCAATCTCAAGGCCAGGATAATAGTTGGTGTGGACTGGAGGAGACTTCAGGATTGAGGCCTGGGAGTGGCATAACATGGGTCAGGCCCATGATCACCTGCACCCTTATGCCTTCTACTCCAAGGCAGGCAGACGTGCCTGGACATATCCACCCCTCCCCATTCCCTTTGATCTCAGGGCTGCCTGGGTCATAGAGGAAGGGCAAGCTGTTTCCATGGGGCAGGCTCCACAAGACCCCAGAGCATCAGCCTCGACCACCTGGAATCTTCCCAGTTCCTGTGCTCAGTCTGGTCCAGGCTTCTCTAGGGATCAGAGACTCAGGTTTGGCCCTGAGCTGACCTGAGATAAACTGCCGTGGGCTATGAGTAAGGGCCACAGACAGGCTTCTGGCCATCTATACCAGGTAGCCTGGAGAGGAGCCCAGTGCCCCATTCTGCCTCTGCTTCTCCACTCCTGGGCCTTGAGCCCACCTTTGCAGGTCTTAAATGAGACCAACAAAGGCCAGGTATGAGCCTAAAGGTGCTAGGGTTCCATCTTGGGTGTGACCGGCATGGGAGCATCTTGTGACTATTTTAGCATAATAATCACAATTGTGGATTATGTTAATTAAGCAAATCTCTTTGTCAGTGCTATGCCAAGTAGTTTTTATAGCATGTGCCTAAGGCATTTGACTGCTAACCAGAGGTTGGTGGTTCAAACCCACCAGCCACTCCATAGAAGGAAAACAGGCAATCTACTTCCATAAAGATTACCGCCTTGGAAACCTAATGGGGCATCGCTGAGGCGGAATCGACTCAGTTACGGGTTTGTTTTTTTTTTGGTTTATCTTATTTTCGCTGTTGTTGTGTGCCACTGAGTTGATTCCAACTCAGAGTGACCCCATAGGAGAGAGTAGAACTACCCCATAAGGTGTCCTAGGCTGTAAATCTTTATGGGAGCAGATCAGTAGGTCTTTTCTCCCACGAGTGGCTGGTAGGTTTGAACTGCCAGCCTTTCTTTAGCAGCCAAGCACTTAACCATTGTGCCACCAAGGCTCCTTTAATCCTCACAATAACCCTATAAAAGATGGGAGCCACTATTATTCCCACTTTTTAAATAAGAAAACAGAAGTTCAGAGAGGTTAATAACTGGTCCAGAATCACAGACTTTGTGCCATCCTCCCTCCCATGTGCATGTGGTTTCTTGGGTTCAGGGGAGAAAGTCCAGACTGGCTTTGCTACATGGTGGCTATGTGACCTTGGGCAAGCCAGTTCACCTCTCTGAGCCTTATCTACTTTATCTATAAATTTGGTCTATAGTCTTCACTTTACAGGCTATTGTGAGGCTCCAATAAGATGATGTACATGAAAGCATGTGTTAAACTTGAAGGTATTAGACATGCACCGTGACCAATGTGACCCCAAACCAACTTTCTGGTGGCTTCCAGGGCAGCAATCTCTGAGTGCAGTGGGGAAAGAGGCTTCTCCCATCCAACTGGGAGCCAGCCCTGGGTCACACACACTCCTTTGCTTTGTTGCCTATGACAGCTTGAGGTCAGAAGGCGGCTGTGACTTGATTCACAGGCCCTCTCACAGATCAGGCACATTATGTTGGTGGCACTGCAAGGACATCACTCCTTGGAGTCCTCCTTGCCATACATTTCAATGAAGGCAGATTTATAACTGGCCAGGGCCCTTGGGAGGGGTCTCTGTTCCTCACATGGAGGCCCCAGGAAGCCTGACCAGCAGGCCTGACACCACCCACTACCCTGGCCAGAGGAGAGGTTATCCAGACCCAGCAATAAGAAGATGAGACAAGTCTGGACAATATTGGGTGGGTTTTGGATGCATGCTCTGCAGTGAAGGAAACTCCTCAGCCCATGGCAAGGTTGGAGCCCTAAAAAGCTGACTATGCCAGAGTGGAAAATAGGTGGGCTGTGGCTAGCTCTCCCCAGCCCAGGCCTGAGAGCAAGAAGGTCCAGTTCCCTCTGTCAACCCCTACAAAACTCAGGCACCAATTGCCTGAGGCCTGTCACCAATAGGACCCTCATTCAGGAGTTCCCCTTAGATGGGCAGCTGGGGCTGAGACAGGAGTGGTTGCCACCCAGGTATAGATACACCTAACTCTGAGGAAGACATCCAGTCCTACCTCAGATAAAAGCAAGGTCATTCCCAGACCTACAATAGATGGGAAAAAGACACCAGCAGAATAGTCCATATGGGACTTCCTACAGAGGAAGAAATTGAGGCACAGAGCCAGGGAGCTCTGAGAAAGCCCAGGGTAAGGAACAATCCACTTCTGGGAGATTCCCCATCCACTTTGGCTATACAAGATTGTGTATGGCCATTGGAAGGAAGGTGGGGCAATCTACTTCCGTAGTGATACTGCCTCAGCAACCCAAGGAGAGGTCACTATGAGTCGGTTCTGACTCAACGGCACATAACAACAACAATGTCCATTCAATAGTTTTCTGGCCCACCCCCTGGTTACTTGTCCCAAATAGGGCCATGATGCAAGGGTGTCCTGGAAAATGGGGCAGTGTGTTTTGACATGGATATACATTCTAGAAGGAGTCTGAGTGTTGTAAACAGTTAAGGTGTTTGGCTGCTAACCAAAAGGCTGGAGGTTTTAGTCCACCCAAAGGTGCCTCAGAAGAAAGACCTGGCAATCTACTTCTGAAAAATCACCCCTTGAAAACTCCAGGGAGCACAGTTCTATTCCAACACGTGGGGTCACCATGAGTCAGGATCAACTCAGTAGCAACTTTTTTTTTTTAGTTGTTACTTACATTATATAAGACTCATTGCTGTAAGTAATTCTGACTCATATTGACCCTCAGATGGATCTTGACTGAAAGCAAAGAATACCTGAAAGATGTTTACTTGTGTTTTATTGACTATGCAAAGACATTTGACTCTGTGGATCATAACAAATTATGGATAACATTATGAAGAATGGAAATTCCAGAATACGTAATTGTGCTCATGAGGAAACTGTACATAGATGAGGAGGCTGTCTTTAAAACAGAATAAGGAGATACTATATGGTTTAAAAGGAGCTCTGGTAGCTAAGGCATTTGACTGTTAACCAGAAGGCTGGTGGTTCAAACCCACCAGCCACTCCTCAGAAGGAAGGTTGTTGGTCAATCTACTTCCGTAGTGATACTGCCTCAGAAACCTAAGGAGGGGTTGCTATGAGTCCGGTAGATTCAACAGCACATAACAACAACAACAACATGTGGTTTAAAATCAGGAAGGGCATCAGGACTATATCCTTTCACCATACTTAATCAGTCTGTATGCTGAGCAAATAATCCGAGGAGCTGGACTATGTGAAGAAGAATGGGGCATCAAGATTGGAGGAAGATTCATTAATAACATGCTATATACAGATGATACAACCTTGCTTTGCTGAAAGTGAAGACTTAAAGCACGCACTGATGAATATTAAAGCCTATAAAGACTCCATTCTATAAATGGAGAAAAGATTGAAGTTGTCAAAGATTTCATTTTACTTGGATCCACAATCAACACCCATGGAAGCAGCAGTCAAGAAATCAGACATTGTATTGCCCTGGGCAAATCTGCTGCAAAAAACCTTTAAAGTATTGAAGAGCAAAGATGTAACTTTGAAGACTAAGATGTTCCTAACCCAAGCCATAGTGTTTTCAATTGCCTCGTATGCATGTGACAGCTGGACAATGAATGCATAAGGAAGACCAAAGAAGAGTTGATGACTTTGAATTGTGCTGGAGAAGAATATTAAAAATACCATGGACTGCCAGAAGAATGAATAAATCTGTCATGGAAGAAGTACAGCTGGAATGCTTGCTCCTTGGAAATGAGAATGACCAGACTTCGTCTGATCTACTTTGATCATGTTGTCAGAAGGGGCCATTCCCTGGTAATGGAGGGTCAATGAAAAAGAAGAAGACCCCCAATAAGATGGATTGATACAGTGGCTGTAACAATGGGCTCAGGTATGGCAAGGATTGTGAAGATGGTACACAACTGAGCAGTGATTTGTTCTGTTGCACATAGAGTCTCTATGAGTTGGAGTTGACTCGAAGGCACTCTAACAATAGCAACAACATATTGACCCTATACCATGGGTAGAACTGACCCATAGGATTCCCAAGGCTGAAATCTTTATGGAAACAGATTGCCACATCTTTCTGCTGGTGGGTTTGAACCACCAAGTTTTTGGTTAACATCTGAGCACTTAACCACAGCATAATCCTGACTCCTTTTACACACTATATAAAAGCTACTATTTATGGAATAAGGAGCTCTGGTGTCATAGTGCCTAAGGCATTTGACTGCTAACCAGAAGATTGGCAGTTCAGACCTACCAACTGCCCCATGGAAGGAAGATGGGCAATCTACTTCCTCAAAGATTTACCTCCTTGGAAACCTAAAGGAGGTCACTATGAGTTGGAATCAACTTGATGTCAGTGAGTTTGGTTTTTTTAAAATTTTATTTATGAAATGCCTTCT